ACTCCTATCTATTTGCTTAAAAAAGTTCAATACACAAGCATCACAAAAACTATCAAGTGCAACATACATTCGCAAAACAACTATACATTCACTACAAGAAAAAGGTCAGATTTCGACGGTCGTTTTCCGACGGACACAAAATTCCGTCGGAAATCCTGCAAATTCCGGCGGATTTTTATTCCGTCGGAAATTTCCGACGGATTTTCTACGGAATAAAAATCCGTCTGAAATTATGGGCTTTCCGACGGAATATTTCGTCGGAATATTAATATTCCTACGGAAATACATTCCGTCGGAAGGTTCCCACGGAATATTCCGTCGAAACGCTAACTTTCCGACAAAATTAAAATCCGTCGAAAATTTCCGACGGAATATTCCGTCGGAACAATAAGTTTCCGACGAATATTCCGTCGGAATCTTATTTAAAAAAAAAACAACTAAACCCTAATAAGTTTCCACCGCCACTTCCCTTTTCTCATTCTCTCTCCTCTCCTCTTCTCTTCTCTTTCCTCTTCCTCTGAATTCCTCTTCTCTTCTCTCCCCCTTATCTCTCTTCCGCCCTCTCTTTCTCTCTCTTCTACTTCTCCTTCCTTCTCCTCCCTTCTCCTCTTTTCTCGTAGCTTCTCCCTATCATGTCTCCTCTCGCTCGTCTCCTTGCACAACCGGACCACCACCATCGCCGAATCTTCTTCCTTGCGCAACCGCCTCTACTAGCCACCATGGGGTGTGTTTTTTTTAAGGTTTTTTAGGCCAAATTCGACCATTAAAAGCCTAAATCAAGACTTTTAATGGCCGAATTTGGCCTTGTTAACCCGTTTTCGTCGATTTCATGGCCGAATAAGGTATGTTTTATTTTTTTTTTTGTCGATTTCGGTTTTTTTTTCTTTGTTTTTTTTTTAGATTTTTGGTGTAACGTTGTTGTGTGTACGTGTGTGATGTGTGGGTGGCGATTTTTGAAGGTGGTGGGTGTTTTTGGTGGTTTTGTGAGTTTGGGTGGTAGATCTTTGGTTTTTGGTGCAATTTTTGGTTTTTTTTGGATGATTTCGAGTTTGGGTGGGTGGATTAAGTGTGGGTTGTGGGTGGGTAAGGGGCGTAGGTGTAGCGTGGGTGGGCTGGTGGTTGCGTGGGTTGGTGGGAAGTCAGGGGGTAGGGGGTAGGGGGGGTGGTCTGGTGGTGGTGTGGGTTGGGAAGGGGTGGCGCTGGGTGATGGATGTGGGGGGTGGGGGGTGGTCTGGGCAGGGGTTGGGGGGCAGGGGTTGGGGGGCAGGGGTGGGGGGCTGGTCTGGGCAGGGGGTGGGGGTGGGGGGCAAGGTGGGGGGGGGGGGGGGCTGGTCTGGGGGCAGGGTGGGGGGTGGTCTGGGCAGGGGTGGGGGTGGGGGGGCAAGGTGGGGGGGCTGGTCTGGGCAGGGTGGGGGGGTGGTCTGGGCAGGGGTGGGGGCGAGTTCTGGGCAGGGTGGGGGTGGTCTGGGCAGGGGGTGGGGGGTGGTCTGGGCAGGGTGGGGGGGCAGGGTGGAGGGACTGGTCTGGGCAGGGTGGGGGGCAGGTCTGGGCAGGGTGGGGGGGTTGGTTTTTTTTTTTGTTTTTTTTAATTGACTTTTCCGACGGAATATTCCGTCGGAATCTTCCTATTCTGACGGAAAATTCCGTCGAAAGCTAATCCACCTCCGATGGAATTTTCCGTCGGAAAATTGCGACGGAATTTCAATTAAAGTCAAAATCGGCGCCGACAGAGCCTTTTCCGTCGGAATCACATCTTCCGACGGAATTTCCGCCGGAAAAGGCCGAATTTCCTAAAAGGGGTGCTCTGACAGACTACGTCCGACGGAATTCCGTCGGAAAGCTTAATTCCGACGGAATTTTTTATGTTTCCGACGAGAAAATTCCGTCAGAATCCTGCTGTTTTCTTGTAGTGATTCCTGCTATAGCAAAAACATCTAGTCTTTTGAGAACCTTATACGCTTGGAACGTCCATGTAATTCTTCTGAGCCTGCCACCTTTGGAAATACTTCACTGCCAGAATCAGTAATAGCAGATGATTCTGCAACTTGAGACCTTAGATCAGTCTTATTGAAAGTTATGACAGGTGGAATAGACACTGGAACCTGGAACTCTCCTTCCCAATAGGAACTATGCAATCTTGTTCTACAAGACCTGTAGAAGGTTCCAACTGTTCTTTAACTCCCAACACACGTTCCTTTGCACTTAAATAACTCTCCCTCTCCAAAACACATAACACAGCATCAAACCTACAAGGCGTTGCCCTATAATTAGCATCCACTATATTAAGATTACACACATCAATGAGATAATCAACAGTTTTCCTACCAAGATCTTGCTTGGCTGCAACTTGACTCGAACAATAATCACTAAACAAACACCTAAATCATGAACTATTCCTATGATGAATGATGGTAAACCAAGAAACATACTGATTAGGGAATTGCTCAATAATTTCAATTGGAGTGCACTTTATATCAACACACCTGAAAATAGCCCTCAACTGTAATACCCGAATATTTTAAGATTTTATCAGATATATTTTATGGCTAAAATAAGATATTTTAAATTATTTTATAAATTCGATCTTATACTTTATTTTTGTTATCCTATAAAATTATCTTAAACCCTATTTTAATCTAAATATGACTATATTTGTAAGCATATATAAACTATTTAAACCCTAAAGATATTACACATCATATATAAATTACTGATCAAGGCAGCCGTACGTGGTTTATTTTATAACTTTAACCTTTGCAATTTGCGTGCTTCCATGAACATAATTGTTTCACGCACAATACCTCAATTTGTGGGCCAATGATAAATTAAGTTCATTTTATGACATTATCTCTTTGCCGAGATCGTTTTACATGAATTATCATTAGCGAAAAGATAGAAGCACATGTTTGTAGAATTCTTTTCTGTATGACCTTAGTTTTTACGAAAGATCTTGGAGTTTTATTTTCGGAAAGGTAATCACACGAATTTATTAATCTTGGAGTTGTATGTTTATAATTTATTGTCTCGTAATCACACTATCAATCTTTTGGTGTTGTTTGATTAAAATTTGATTGTATTGTTTATTATATGTAATCACACTATAAATTTTTTGGTATTGTTTGATTATAATTTGATTGTATTATATGTAATCACACGAAACTTTGAGATGTTTGTATTATATTCGTATTATTATGTGTGATATGATTTATTATTTGTAAACTTTGTATATGTGATTAATTATTATGATATTATATGATTTGATTGGATTTGAGTATTGTATTATTTTTGTTGTTGATAATTGATTATTCTAGGATTTTTAATGTTGTTGCTATAGGGAGTATTGTTATATTGAGGTTTTAGGGTTATTAATGCAGAGTATTATTTTTGGGTTGTGAGTTAATTATATTTGGGAACTAGTATGTTTGCCCTATAAGTGTTGAGATATTATATGAATCAAGTACGTCATGTTATATAATTTGGGAACCTGTGCCATTATTGAGATATTGTTTATTAACCTGTGAATGGTTATTTGATCAAAGTATGAGATCAAAAAGAATTATTATTTTGTTCTCGATGTTAATTACCTTAGTCCTTGGCATGTTGGTAAGGAGATAATGATCATGAGTTAAGAATGAGGTACAATCTTTATTTATATTTTTTTATGGTCCCTTACAGTGGGATTTGGCCCATATGTGGTCTGGTTTAAGGTGTTTTCTGGTTATTGAGAGTATTCAAGTTTTTATACTTGTTGGTTTATTTATTCGAATTACTCAAGTCCAAGGCTGGGTATAAAACAAAGAGTATGGCACACTTTATGGGATAAATGAGTTAATTGAGTAAACCATCGTATTATTATTTGAGGTTGAGTTTGACAAAGGTTATTTTCAGAGTACGGAGTTATTTTACCCTTGAGGTGTATATGTGTAATGTAGTTTCGAACTACATTGTTTTAAGTGAGTTAATTATATTAATTATTCTATTGTTCTTTGTATTTTGTATTTTGATCAGTGGTTATTACTCAGCTTTTTGCTGACGTGTGTGTTGTTTTGTTGTGCTACTTGTGTTTGCGGCCATGTCTTTTTCACATGGTGGCCCTGCGACGATCTATTTTGAAATTTGTCCTTAATGGTGAGCAGTCAAGTTTATCTAAGCATGTTGATCAAGTGATCGTAGCTAAAAGAGCTCAAGTGTTTCGATTAGTATTTTATAACAAGTTTGTAAAGTTGTATAAATAGCTCACCTAGTTTATTTGGTCGTAATTATTGGGATTTTGTAAGCCTTAGCACTTGACAAGTTGTTGAGTGTGGCGGTAATACCTCCGATTTAGGTGTATGCTTCCGCAGTTTTTATTCAAAGGTTGTTTATTTTTCCTTTATTTATTATTTATTAATAGCTAGTAAATTGGGGGTGTTATAAACACTTCAAGAAAATCTATAACAATCTTCCTTTGGTTGTTACCAAATTCAGAAGAAATATCTCCATGAAAATAAACCTTTGATTCTCTTTTTTCAATACCTTCTAGTTCCTCTTTCTTATAACCATAAAATCGACCACAACGTTCATACATCTGTTTTTGTAAGGCTGTTTCATCGTCAACAACTATGTCATATTTTTTCATGAGATCATACACAGTTTTTCTAGCCGCAATTTCACACGATTCATCTACATTATCCGTATCTCCACCGAGGTAAACAGTAGGAACAACACTACTATCACTCCTAATTAGGGGTGGCAAATGGATCAGGTCGGGTTCGTGTTCGGGTTTTCGTGTTTCGGGTCAGCAAAACCCCAACCTGAACCTGATCCATTTAAGTTTTCGGGTTGAAAACCCCAACCTGAACCTGATTTTCAGGTTCGGGTCAACCCGAAAACGACCTAATTTGACCTGATTTTATATATATTTTTCTGAAATTTTTTTTTTGACCTGAATAATCTGATTTTGAGTTTTTGACTACTTAGCAGTTAATAAAACCTGATTTTTTTTACCTAATGTTTTCAAACATGATTTTCAAAATTAAAGTTTTCAAGAAAACCAAATATAGTCTAGCACTGTAACAAGTCTAAATGCCTAATTAACTATTACATAAAAAATAAAGTCTTAACAAATTACAAACCACAATTAAAAAGAAACAAATGTATTTAAAGTAACAATCTCATGAATCTTCTCATCTTCCCAGAAGAAAGCTGTTGTACATGGGTCATGGGTGTCCATAACTGCTGCAAATAAAAAATATAACAAAATAAAACAATTAAAAAGAAAAGTCAAGAACAACCAAATCAGCAACATCTCAGGAAAAACAACCAAAACAGCAAGAACAAATTAGTAAGAAAGTAACAAAAATTAGCAAGAAATCAACAACAAATCAGTAAAAATCAGCGAATCAGCAAGAATCAAGAACAACTAATCACCAACAAATAAGGAAAAAACAAAAATTAAAAAGACATGCACAATACTTTTTCCCGTCAAACAACAAATCAGCAAATAATTTATCATATTACGATTATTAACCAAGAACAATGAACAACATTCTCAGGTTCTAATTAAACGAGTTTAAAAACATCTAACCCAACAACATAAATCCAAACGATATGAACAAGACAACAACAACAACTGACATGCAAGACTGTATAAAAGAAATTAAATAAAAAATTATAGGAACTTGTACATGGGTCATGGGTGTTCATAACTGCTGCAAAAAACTATAACAAAATAAAACAATTAAAAAGACAACTCGAGAACAACCAAATCAGCAAGAACAACATAATAGCAACATCTCAGGAAAAACAACCAAAACAGCAAGAACAAATCAGTAAGAAAGCAACAAAAATTAGCAAGAAATCAACAACAAATCAGCAAAAATCAGCAAATCAGCAAGAACCAAGAACAACAAATCACCAACAAATCAGCGAAAACAAAAATTAAAAGGACATGCACAATACTTTTTCCCATCAAACAACAAATCAGCAAAAAATTTATCATACTACGATTGTTAACCAAGAACATCAACACAATAGAATACAAAAACTGAAATAAAAAAAAATTTAAAAAAAACAACGAATAAGTAAAACAGAAAATTACCTTAGAAGCAGAGGAAGATTTGAAGATGAAGGTGAAAGATTTGAAGATGGATAATTGCAGATCGACCGAAAAGTCTAGTTGAGGATATAAATAACAAATCAACAACAACAGAAAATGTTAATCTTAATATCTGATTTGCAATTGTTAGAAAAAGAAAATAGAAAAATAAATTAAACAACAAGTCAACAACAAATCTATCGATCTACGGATCTACCCTTTCCCGTAAAAAAAAACAAATCAAAAATAGAAATTAACAACAAAAATCTTAGGCATATTAAGATTATTATCAAGCAAGAACAACAACAAAAATAAACAGCAAAAACTGTATTTAAAAAATAAAAGAAATCGAAACTAAAACAAAAACAATTAACAGAAAATTACCTTTGAGCTTTGACGGCTTGGAGAAGAAGTTGAAGAACTGGAGATCATTCAAAAAAATCGAAAATAGAGAACTTGCGATCGAAAAAAACAACCGAAACGAAAACAAAAACAAAAACAATTAACTAAAAGTTTAAAATTACCTTTGATATGTTCAGAGCTGAGACGTTAAGCTTGATTGCTTGAAACGATTTAGGGTTAGGGTTTTGAGGAGAAACAGAGAAATTGAGAATGAAATTTTTGAAGAGAGGGAAATGTGAAAACGGCTGAGATGAGAGGCTGGAAGAATGAGAATGAGAGTGAGAGTGAGAGTTAGGGTTTCTAGCTTAATATAAGGGACTTAAGGTTTTTGTTTAAAGATTTGGGCTTGGGGTTTGGGGCCTTGGGCTAGTAGTACTGTAGTAGTTTTAGTTTTTTTTTTTTTAAGACTTTTTTAAGGTCGGGTTCGGGTTGATCCGACCCAAACCCGACCTGATTTTGACCCGAAAATAATTTCGGGTTACGTGGGTCATTTTCGGGTTGAAATTTTCAACCTTAACCTAACCCATTTAATTTTGGGTCGGGTTCGTGTCAACCCATTTAATTTTGGGTCGGGTTCGTGTCAACCCATTTAAGTTTTCGTGTCGAAATTCTCAACCCTAACCCGCTATTTTCGGGTCGGGTTCGGGTCGGGTTTTCGGGTCGGGTCAGCTTTTGCCAGCCCTACTCCTAATAGCCACACAAGCAATGCTTTTACGGAGATTGAGATACTGGTATTCCGGATCAGGGAAATTCAAAAACTGGTAATTTGCTTCAACAAAGGACGAAATGATATCACTACTTGTGTGAGCGGAGCATCCATAACCTGTAATTCATGTATAATCAACCAATTTAGACTAAACTCAACCCAAATCAGATGCAACTAAAGATACCAAGTAACAAACACTTCATACTCGAGCCATTTCAAACAGCTATCAATAGACCAATAGACATTGTTCACCTTAATTTTCTATATTGTTCACCATAGACCAATAAACAATGTTAACCTTAGTTCACCCAAAAAACTTCATAAACTGCATGCAACAATCAGAGAAATCTAAACCATTTCAAACCCTTATCAATAAACCAATCAAACAAATGATGAAACAATAATTTGTGCTTCTCTCAAACCATAGAACTTATACTCAAAACACTATCATGCTATGATCTTATTTATATTAGCAATATAAACTGCATGCTTATACGCGTACCTACAACAATAGACTTAAACGAAAACTTACAAACGCTTACATGCATGCCAACTTTCGAACCTCAAAATTTATATTCAAAACATTGTTATGCTAAAATCACTAAAGAAAATAGCAACCTAGAGTGCATGCAACAATCAAAGGAATCTAAACCATTTATAACCCTGTTATGCCTAAATCATAAATATGATAGCAATCTAAAGTGCATGTAAAAATCAGAGAAGAATTCATTGACACAAATAAAATCAAAACAAATAAAATCAAACAATTAACAACAAATAAACATCGAACAAATAACATAATTCGAAAACAATTACATCCTTAAACTCCTTAATTAATGGTCTGGTCCATTAAATACAGGAAAATTCTTATACATGCACTTATCATCCTCGAAAAATAATAAATGACTGAAAATTACCTGAGAACTTGCAGAAACAACTTGTAGAAACAGGATACTCCCTAAACTCAAACAACTAGAGAATGTGTGAAAATTAACTCACAATGAAGATCTTTTATAGCCTACATTTTAGACAATAAAAATCTACTAAATAAATACCTAACCCACCTAAAAAACACATGCCTTAAAACAAGGTAAAAGCAATGTTTCTCATGCAATTACACAAAGAAAGCCACGACCACCTCATTATTCTTAACACATAAACCAGAATTATATCCATGAAAGTCAAAGAAAGTCAACAAAAAACAATGACATTTTCGCAATAAGCAACAAGAAGGGAGTAAAATGCCGTCAAGTCACTATTCCTTTTGAAATCACTGTTCATTTTGCTAATCCGAGCTTGCTTCGTGCTTTTAAAGGTTGTAGAAGTTACAAAGTAGATGATAAAGCTAAGGGGAGTTACTAGGGAAGTAATTATGTTAAAGGGAATTACAAAGGTATAATTGACATACATAAATAAACATTTTACAACAAAGTGAAAATTATAAATAGTTTTTTTGTGTTAATTTTTGAGTGGTGGAAGTTTTTTTTTTTTTTGAATAAATAAAGAAGAATAGGTAGTATTTTTTACGTAGTTATTGGTTAATCTATCTATCTATCTATAATATAATTTAAGAGTTAGTTAACAAGGCGCCTCCAAAACCTCAATTTTAAACTCTCATTCACTCCCGCCCAAATACTCTAATTTCTCCAAAAATCCATACTACTTCCTAATTCAAATTTGGAAAAATTAAAATTTCAAAAATAAAATAAAAAGTTGAATAATCGCCATAAATGGAAGAGGCGTTTTTTGATGGGTTTTGCTTAAAATTAATTGATCTACCATCAATTTGCTCATGCCTTTTCCGAATTTCTTCGCCCAAAGACTAAAATTGCTTTTAAAATTAAGCCTGAGGTAGTGAAAGTCATCTTTTATCTATAGCAAGGAAGGGCCCTGATTTTTGAAGACATCAGTTTGCTTGGGAATTCTTTTGCTTAACTAGAAGATGTTTCTTTTGCTAGGTGCTAATCTGTTATATGGACTTTTGATGTCATGGACACTATAGCAATATTTTTATACGCTTAGCGATTATAACCAACAATTTTGAATTTCTGGAACAACCAAATAGATCAGCTTGCGGTGAACTATACTCCAACAAGGTATCACATTGAACTCATCATCCTTTGTTATCTAAGTACTCCGATTATTTTCTATGTTGTGACTTGAGACCAACTGTGTTATCTACTTTTATAGTTGTGCAACTATGTGCTAATTTTTAAGGGTATGTGTCTTCAATACTTTTGTAGTATAATATTTATTCGTGTGCAAGGTTAGAACATAATTGGTCATTAGCCTAGATTGTTAAACAATAATTTTTCTTCCAAGAGGCCAAATGTTCAAATCTCCTCAGCCATATATTAGTATAGATGGATTTGAACTTGAAACAACATGGAGGGAGTTGCGCGAGTGACGTGACGTAATTAAGGGTATAAGTGGCACATAAACGTTTTAATGTGTATAATTTTCGTGTCACTCAAAGGTGTCAATTCGGATGTCCGGATCGGATTCAGATTTGAGGTCGGGTCGAATCAATTTTTAAAGTTAATCATGTTAAAGTATTGTGTTCACACAAATTGAAATTTAAATCGGGTATTTTTCAGGTTAGTTTCGGATCGGGTGTGGTTTTGACACCTCTACGCCTAACCAAGGCCCGATCATGCCAATCGGTCACTTTGATTGCGCATGTACTCCGGTATAGAGGTGTCAATTTAGATGATCGGATCGGGTCTGAGGAGGTCGGATCGAATCAATTTTTAAAGTTGAATTATGCTAAATTAATATGTCCATGCAAGTCCAAATCTGAATCGGATATTTTTCAGATCGATTTCAAATCGGGTCGGAACGGGTATGGTTTTCACATCTCTAATCCGGTAGTCGTACTCAGTAAAATAGCATCAGAAAAAAAAAAACCGCTGTATTGTGCATCACTGTATCTCAAACTAAACAAATAAAAAAACAGCACCTAATCTTCTTCATTAATTTCTCTCCCTTTAATCTCATCTTCTTCCATAGTTCTAAACAAAATTCTTCAGAAACCAGAGAAAGAGGAGAGAGAATGAAAGCAGCTCAATCATGGTTTACAGGCACCGAGGAATTGCCGCAGACAACTTCCGCCAAGCCATCGACGTCGTCGTCTTCGTCGTTGTTAGCTGATTGGAATTCATACGCTGCTACTCAAGATCAAAATTCTTCCGCCGATTTCTCCTCCACTTTAGGTTTTGATATTGAATCCGCTGTCAGATCCGCTAACGACACCGTTTCCGGCACTTTCAATGTGTAAGTTCTTCATTTTTTTTTACTACTTGAACATCAGTACTGCTTAATTATCTCATTGATTTCAATTTCTAGGGTTTCAAGTAAGTAGGTAGGAAATCTAGTAATTTGATCATGAATGTGCTCTAATTAGATTAGATTTCGTGGTGAAATCTGATCTTTTCAGCAAAATTACTGTTTCTGATGTTGGATGGTTGATGGATGTCTAATTCGTAAGGTTTTCTACAGAAATTGGTGTTCTTTTGATTTGTTTTATACCTTCTGTGATTGATTTTTCTTAATTCTAGACTGAATTAGGATCATTAAGAACTGTTGGATGGTTGAAAGTTTTGTTCTTAGTGTCTACTGGCATAATTGTTGCTAGTTTCTGCTAGAGGAGTATGGGGTTGAGTTTGTTTGAGAAATCAACTTAGGGGGCGTTTAGTTCGGATAATGGAAACGGAGTGGAAAGGAAACAAATAAGAGGGGGGAAAGGAATCATTTAACTATTACCTTTTCATTTCTTTGGTTTAACCATGAAAAGGAATTAGTTAAATTTTACTCCCTTTGTTTTTGTTTTGTTTACCTAATAGAAAGGAATCACTTGAAAATGCAACTACTTATATAAGAGGAAGTTTTTGCTATTAATATATGAGCAATTTTACTTGATTGAGTTACATACGATCATTATAGTACCATAAAAACAAGTTAGCTATAATACTAAATTGATGATCACTATTAGCTAATAACTAATCATGCAAAAGGTATTGAAATTTTTTCCCTGAATCACAATTATTGAATCAATAAATTAAGCAAACTATATGCGAGATAGAATGAAAAGGGAGGAAGACGGGATAAAAACTGAAAAGAGCACTCAAACTTTATTGAGCATTTCATCAAGCACCTGGTAGGCATTAATGCAATATACTAAATTGAACAAAAATTAATGTATCAACTAACCAAAACCCATAATCAACAATTATCAATAATATTGAACAAATATTTACACAAAAGTTCCAACAATAGTATAATTTACTCCCAAAATAGTTTTTGATGACAAATTTTCAACCAAAAGCAAATAAAATCAACGTATATAAATGAAAAAAAAAAATAGTTAAAAGCTAAAAAAATTACAAACAATTGCAAGAATGATGAAGATCCAAAGCCCCAATCTCACGCCTCACCCAAAAGAGAGCAACTAGCAGAGAGAAGAAGAGAGAGAAAATGAAATTTTGGGAGTGAAGGAGAGAAATAGGAATTTTGTAATTGAGGAGGGTAAGGGTATTTGTTACCCTAAGTTTTTGAGAGATAACAAATGAGGGTAACCATTACCCTTAAGTAATGGTAATTGTTACCATGTCCTCTAGCCAAATGTACGATAATGGTATCGGTTTAATCGAATCTGTTTCCAATCCAAAAAATACACCAACCAAACGCTCCCTTAGTGTATTATCCGGTCACATCTCATTTAAAGCTTAACTCCGGAGTATTAAATTAGCTCATGTATGTGCTTTGATTTTGCAAAGCTCTTTAACTATAGATTATTTGCAATTAATTTTTACTTTATATACTTAAAATCCTGCGTGTGTGTACCTACTACCTATCATACCAAGATGACAATTATACAATGAGCACTTACTGTTCTTTTTAGTGATTCTATGTGAGCTTTATATATAGCTATTATTCATGAACATAAATTAAGAAGATCCTTTTGCGTTAAATGTTTAGTCCACTTTGAAATTTGTTAGCATAATATATTTAGTGTACTTATAAAAAAATGGGTTGGAGGTAGTACTTATAAATGTTTGAGCGAACTTTTTAGGCGAGCTATGCAAAATTGTTTGAGCTCGATACATAAACTAATTGTTCCTAATCTTTCGATCTTCTATCTCTACTCCCTAGTTATCTTTTAACTAAATTAGTAGTGTTAGTTATAAACCCAAATGAAATCAATATTAAACCCAAATTGCTATCACAAGTCAACCAACACTAGAACTCAACATCAGATTCCAATTTAGCAAGAGCAAACACCTAAAATTCCCCATAAAAACCCAAATGAAATCATCACCTCACCAGCATCATCAACACTTACACTTCATCAGTGTCTATCAACCTCTCTTCTTTTTACCAGCTTACTTTTTCTTTAGTTCTTCATTTTGTTGCTCGACTATAGTAACACTTTTTTTTCCTCTCTGTTTGATTTCCATGCTCCTGCTCCTGAAACTTGGGGTATTTGTTTTTGCTCCTCATTCTTCCTTTTATTTTCTCCTCTTCCCCCTTATTCCTCCCTCTTCCTCCTTTTTCTCCTCTTCTTCCTCTTGATGAGCATTAGCAGCAGCATCTCCAATTACCTCCTTTTAATGAGCATAAGCAGCACTAACACCATCATCCATATTCTCCTCATCACTGAATTTCTCAAGAAGATTCCGGCTACTATGAGCCTTCAAATCAATTTTTAAGAATCAATATTCTGTTTAGGGTTAAAGTAACTCATATAACATCCAAGCTCCTCATTCTTGCACCTTGCTTGCTCAATTGCATGTCGAATTGAAAGTTAAAGGTGGGTATTTGCATGATTAATACTATTAAGATGAATATACTACTTATCAATCACACTAGCTAAAGCTTTTAACTCCACATAAGGTAGCTATTTGAGCACAATACTCATCAGCAACAACATTCAGATTTATGGGCTTTGGAACACGGATCCCCAAGGACCTTGAAACATGGGTCCCAATGCACATCACAGAAGTTGCACTCGACAATCTCTATCTTCATAATTTCTTGGACGAGAATTCACTTTTTTTATAAAATTGGGTTGTATTAAACGCACAAGTAAAAAGAAAACCCGCTCTCACTTACATCACGAAATGCAAATTATCGCAAGCAGGCCACAACGTGTTAACTAACCACCTAAGTGTTCAGATTCTTGTAACTTTAAATTGTTTGTGATCTTTTCATGTTTCTTTCATTTGGATGACTTTATGTGCTCTTATATTAGTCTAATCATATTGGATGTTAGTCTAATGCCGTCTTGTAGATGTTCAGGAAATCTGACAGCCTTATGGCATGTTTGAGAATTTAGACAAAAATTTTAAATCGAGATCCTTGGATATGCATGTCAGTTCTTCACTCTTAAATAGGCTACTGTCATGTTTCTATTTTTTCTCTTGCTCAATGATCACTTGTTAATCTTGATTACAGGACTATGTTCCCTTCGCTTTCCGTAGCAAGATAGATATCTTCTTTATCATTAGTGATCTGATAAATAACTGGGCAGATATTTTATATTGGTTTTTGGTATAGCTATGAGGAAGAATTAGATGTCTTCGAGTATGATGGAGTGAGATGGACTGGAGTGTTGATAGAGCAGACATTGTTGAGGAGGGATTTGGGCATTGTGATCAGGGGGTCTTACAGAGAACTATCAAGCTTGTAATTTTGATCAAATATGTTGAGTGAGAGAAGGAAGACATACTTGAACCCGTGGCAAAAGATGGCATGGCAACATGGAATGATTTTTTTCTTTTTTAAATGGGGAGGTTTTATTGGAACATAGAATATGCTGTCAAATTGAATTCCTGCTGGTAAAGGATAAATATGTGATCTAATTTCAGCGCATTTCATGAAATATGGTTCTTGCATATGCTAAGATTTGAGTGATTAGCAGGTAGCTCATGAATGGTATTTGCTGCTAGGCTGTAGCTAGGACGGGGTCACCAAATGTAGTTTTTGTGTAATCCCCATTTGTGGGTTGTTGTCATGTTGATGTTATTTGGTTTTCTATGTGCATTTAATGGAATCTTTTCGTTGAGGCTAGTGCATTGGGCATGGTCTTATGGAATTAAATGGTGCATAGAATTGTTTGAAATTGTCTTTTTATAACAGCCTTGGCCAAATTCTAGCCTCAAAATTTTCTTAGACCAGTCCCAGTGCATAGCTCTTTTGATTGAAGCATCTTGTTTGGAGAGGACTTGGTGCCAAGGCGGCTTGTTTTTAAATTGTATTACAAGAGAACTCCCTCCGTTTTCTTTTAATTTACTCACTTTCCTTTTTTGAATGTTTCTTTTTAATTTACATACTTATAACTTACTATTTTTGGAAATGGGACCCACCACTTTTCCTCACACGAATAATTTTTTTTAATTGTCACTTCCACATTTTACTTTTCTCTCTCCTAAATTTGATACAATTCTGGGTTTCCGTGAAAAAAAAAGTGAGTAAATTTTTTTAAAAAATGGGGGAGTACTTTGTTGCACAACTGTTAGGCACTGAAACTTGGCTTCATCTATCACAAGCCTGTCTATTGAGCAAGACTATTCTTGTTAACTGTTTAATCTAGTGTTCTCTAAAACTATCAAAGACAAGCAATGATGATTGGGAGATTCACCTATGTCAAACACTTAAACCTATCTGTGGCTTTTTCCAGTATTGCGATTAGTTGCTTAATAATCCTTTTGCTTCAAATGATACCCACCCCAAGTCAGTAACCCTGAGTTCCATGATTAGTTGATTATGATTTCCATGTATGGTTGGAGTTTCTGGAAATGCTACCCTAAGAGGCTAAGACTATTGAAGTGTTCTGGCAAGTGTGTGTGTGTGTGTGACAGGGAGAGAGAGAGATTTGGGGGGGGGGGGGGGAGGTTGAGGGTTGGGTGTGAGCAATCGCTAAGCATCTGGTACTTTGACGGGAGATGATTTCACGTGGATGAGTGGATCTGGAGTTCCAGACCTCTGGCTTTCATAGTATTTACATGGGTAAACATATGTTGATTTCTGTTGGCAGCTTGTCTCAAAATACATATCTATTTTTCTTGTAAAACAATACACTAGCTGATTCTTCAGGCTACTTTTCCTGTAAATCCTGCTACCAAATATACAGCACAGATTGTGGCGAGTGTAATTGGACTCCGGTGTCAATGAAATATATATTTTAAAGCATTGAACACTACAGTTTCCATGCCTCCAAATTTGTTTGGATGGCAAAGGCTCCTATGAAGCTGAAGGCCTTTGTCTGGAATCAGTTTTAAATATGTTAAAGTTAACACTTTTAAGATTTCCAGGTGGGGTAATCTACTATAACCTTGTTATCTAATGTTTGTATCTTCTTTCAGTTTTATCCTTGAGGTGGTAGGTGTTCTGTGAAATAAGCTCTTTAGGTTAGAAGGGGAGTTTGGGAATAATAGGAGGTAAAATTTGTTGGTTTGGGAGTAGGCTCTTTAGGTTAGAAGGGGAGTTTGGGAGTAATAGGAAGTAAAATTTGTTGGTTTGGGAGTAAATTATAGGAGGTGCTTTGGAAATGTGTGTTCTTTGGCAAATTCATACTGGGACAGTATCTTGCGCTATAACTTATGAGGCTAGTCCGCTAGTGGGGTTGGTTTGTTAGGCTAGTAGGGTTGATTTGTTATGTAAATGTATGCTAATTTCAGCCTTTTGCGATTCTGTGGAGTAAGCTGCTTTTTCTGCATTGCTTTTGTTGGATGTCCAGACTCCAGCATGATTGGATTTGTATACGGAGTACTTTGTTTTAGTTCCTTTCTGTTTTTGAGGATAATACTTACGCTTATTATGTGCTGCCCTCCTAATCATAAAAGCTCGGCTACAAAAACATTTAATGATGTGTGGTGTGCTAATTCTTTGCTCTTGTTTTGGTATTTGTTTCACCAGGGTTTCTAAAGGGGTAAGAGACTTGCCGGGGAGCCTGCAGACTGCCACTAGTAATGTACCCTCGGGAAAATCTCTTATGTACTTTGGTTTACTTCTAGCCACTGGAGTGTTTTTTGTCTTCATTGCTTTCACTATGTTCCTTCCGGTCATGGTATTGATGCCTCAAAAGTTTGCTATCTGCTTCACTCTTGGATGTGGGTTCATCGTTGGGTCGTTTTTTGCACTGAGGGGGCCATCTAATCAGCTAGCTCATATGTCTACGAAAGAGGTACCTTTTATTATTTTTTCAATAGGGACAATTGTTTTCTGTGTCGTATAATATTTTTGTTGGTTTTTGCTGACAGTGCTTTTTTGTTCTCTTTTGCAGAGACTTCCATTTTCATTGGGAATTCTTGGCTGTATGTTTGGTACAATCTATGTGTCCATGGTGCTCCATAGCTACATTCTATCTGTTCTTTTCTCCGTGTTACAGGTATTTAGCTGTTTGATTTCCCTGTAAATTTTCTTACGATTTCTATTTATAATGTTGATAATTTTCACCACCTCGTATTATGTCTGACATTAAGTTTCTTGAGCATCCCCCAGAACCAATTCTGATAGGAGTTTGTTATCTTTTTTGAACTCTGGCAGGTATTTGCACTGACATACTATGCTATTTCTTACTTTCCTGGCGGTTCTTCTGGGTTGAAATTCCTCACTTCTGCACTTACATCATCAGTTACGAGATTATTTGGGAGGTGACATTCTTCATATCAAGCTGATTGCTAAGTGCTTATGCCATTGTAGAATTTATTTTCTCTCTTCCACATCAAACTCCCTAATTCTGCTTGATAATTGAAGAATGGTATATTCTAAAATGTTATTGTGTAGCTTTAGCGCGGTGTTCCCTCATTTGTGAATGTTTAAAAATCTATGAGTATAGCAAATCGTACAGGAAATTTTGTTTCAGAATGCAAATTATGCTGCATTTTAAAGATGTACCATCTCTTCAAGTTTGCAGTTTGCTCCATGCTTTTGACTTCTGAAACAGAGAAAATGTGTATATAGTATATACAGAGAAAATACTTATTCTTAAAGGAGAGAGCGAAGCTGATGTAGCAGCAGCCTGCAAGCTTGCGAAAATTTGAACTAGAACATTGAGCAAATGGTTCATTGTCTGGATGCTTTTATGATTAGAAAGCCGTTGTCCTTTCCTGAACAATTATCAATCAATAATGAAAAGAAAATGACTTGCTAGTTGTTACTTGACAAAAGTCTTAACTTTTCAATGCTGATTTCAATTTAATAGGGGCCAATAATTCATGCTGTTAATTAAAATGTTAGTTGTCTATTCCTCTATTGGACAAGACATAATACAATTATTATGCTACGCTTCCTACATAATGCTCACGTAATAAGCATACTAGCTTAATAAGTTACTCCTATACATCCATACAAGTTATAATACTTTTTATTATTATTACTACGAAGTACTATTTTAAAAGGGATATTTTAAAAAAAAAGAGGTGACTAGTCACAATGCAAATTCCCCTTTTGGTTTAACATGATAGACTGAAAAGCTTTTTTGTAGTAAGGAAAACAATTGATAAGCTAATTATGTACTTCATCTTCCTTCTTGCCACTTACAATGTATTTGTATGGGTTTTCGCACTTACCATCACTGCAGCCACCACCACTATCATTCTAGCATACATACCACTCTCACTACCACCACCGATAGCCAAAGTCGCTACTCTACCACGACTATTTGCTGATTAAAATTCATCTAGGACAACATTTTACCCTAAATAATCTTGTATGACTATATGAACCAAGATTCTGCCTTGTAAAATGTTAGCAGAATGCTAAAAATTGAAAAAAAAAAAAAAAAAATTGAAAAAAAAAAAAAATTAAAAATCCTTAATGCCTTCTCGTGTAAATTACATGTGAAACAGTAAGCTTAGGCCCTCGAATTCCAATGGGCCCCTTTACCTTATAATATACGAAGCCAAATGAAAAGAGTGACCACTAAATAATTAAAAGGGGAGAAATAAATGAAACTGAGTGTCTACTTCACTAAACAAGGTTACAATGGGACTAGGGATTCAGTTGTTGATGTTGCCTACTTGCCTCTTCCACATGATTTGCATTTTAGCTGTTGGCTGTTTGGCACTACTAGCTCTGGACCATGCTACGTAACTACGTTACTCCCTTTCGTTGCGTAATGCTTATACTCCCTCTAGCTCTATATTGCTCCATTTAATCAACTTTTGTGAGAGTTTTTCACTCTGTAATAAATTCTTTTTATGGAGTAATTAAGTTTACTTTTGTATTATATTTTAACCTTTATTTATTTATTTATTTGCTAAGTTTCGAGTGCAGCAATATACCCTTCTTATTGTCCAAGTAGAACACGGAGTAATTAGTTAAACTTGGCCACGTAAAAAAATTATGAAGTTGCAAAGTGCTCCCTTTCTATCCATAAAAATTTTAAAACGTACTTGTCCTGGTTCCTTAGAAGCAATGCCATTTTAGGGCATATGTATTGTTTGGCCTTTTTCGCACATTTGTTATTGCTAGTTTTTAGTTACTCACCAAGAACAATTATTTCTAAATTTGTCACTGTCATTAGATATTTTATTGGACTTTTTTTTTATTTATATAAATAAAATTATACTTCGTACTTAAGTTACTGTTATGTTATTTTTCAAAAAAAAAGTTACTTTTATATTACACTTTGAATAAAAGCCAATTAATATTAGCATAATAAGGTTGATAAAATATCATTGCTTCTATAGCTCTGTACTTTCTACAATGGACCATTAATTTTTTAACCAATCAACAATTGCTCCAAACAAAAAATAATTATAAAAAAGACAGAAAAAAAAAAAAAAAAAAAAAAAAAGGTTCGATAATAGTTGAGCCATTTTCTTAGTGGCCCAATCAGGGTCAGCATTCCAATTTAACATGTGGGTTCAGCCTGACCCATTTCACTTTGGACACGGTTAGCTAATATTGGTTAATTACATAATTATAATTTAACAAATCAATTAAAATAAGCTAAAAGCATAACAAGAAAAAGAAAAGTAAGAAATTATCAGCTCACATACTTTGACCCCCTTATAGTAGTTTTAATTTATTGCATGAAGTTGTTAAAAAAATAAAAGGTTGTGTTTTAGGTAAAGATAATTAAAGCTACTAAAAAGGTTTAGTTCAACTTCAACCCTCAGAAGATCCTTTTCTAGAGCTCAGAAAAGCATCATTATTCTTTATTAATTAAATAATAACACTAATTAATAAACATATTGTCTTAATTAGTGTAATGTGATTTAGTTAAAAGTGGTGTATGGGAGCTAAAAACCTGGAAGTTAAGGGGCCATTTAGGATGAATGATATGACCTTTATTCCGGAGTTTATGAACAAAAGCAAAAAGGTCTTAGACCTCAACAAGTAAACCAAAGTGCTCATATAAAAAGGGGAAAAGCCTTGTACAGATTACATCACCTAATTAACATGATAATACATATATAAAGCTTAAACTTTTCTTGAAGAAGTAAAGATTTGAAGAATATTATAAAAGAGATTTTTTTTTTTTTATTATTTTATTTAACTGTATAAAAAGTGTAAAACAAAAGAGGAACATTAATGAGAAATACACTCAAAAAGAAAGTAGGAAAATGAATAACGAAAGGAGTGTATTGTGAAACTTAAATTTGGAGCGGAAAATATATAATCAAGCGAAGTTAAAAACTAATTGAACCGGAGTTAATTATTTAACATATTAAAAAGCATGCTAATTCACTAGCTCGGTGCTTCTATAGTATAGTATGCTCGATATACACATACCGACACGTGTGATGCATATAATAAATACACACCTCTTGGAAAAATGTTATTTGTTGTGTTTTTTTTTTTTTCATTCCGCCAGAATCGATATACTTGAGTGACCTGTATACGATATATAAGGTTTTGATATCATTAGAAACAAAGAACTACGTACATATTGTTATTACCTAAATAACTACTTAGACTTCTAAATCTAAAATTATGTATAGATGAATTAATAATTGTGTAATGGTGTACCTAGTTATTTTAATCATTCTAGATGATAGTTGTCTTGGTTGTTTATAATTATTGGGGGCGTTCAAATTAAATTAACTTCCGTTTATATCATTTTTTCCGTACATGTCATTCTCTCCCATCCACACCAATAAACAAGCCACAATAATCATTTTTAAGCAATACCATATTTAAGTTCAATATTGTAATGTAAACACTTTAATATTATGATACAAAATTCTAAAATAATTGGCAAAAACGATCATGTATAACATATTGCTAGAGTACAATAGAACAAAATAATAAATTGACATTATAATTTTACAATATATAATTAATTATATAATGACTATTGCAAGTGTATCATAGTTTTAACTCAAGTTTATGCAACCCTTTATCTCATAATCAATAATCTAACTATTTAAGTTTCATTTAATTTAGGAATTGTTGATAAGATGCAATAATGCATGCATGCATGGAAAAATAAACATATTCCATGAAATTAAGAGAAGATTAGGCAGGGAAGACAACCACTAAGGTAGAATGATTTGACCGTTAATCCGGGCTTTAAGCCCTAAAGATCTATGATTTTGCATTTTATTATTCAAACCAAAAAAGTAATAAACCTAAGTACATTAAATCTTTTTTATAATTAAATCATGAAAAGCAAAAGTGAGGGCCGGGCCAAAGATTTTTAATAAAGGTCACGTACAAACCATATAAAATAAAATTACAAACAAATTAAGCAAAATGAATTTAAAGCTTTGTTTGAATAAATGAGGCTTTTTATAAAGATTATAATTAAAAATTTGAGATATTATTGCTTTGATAAGAAGAAAACGTAGCCATCTATAGTGTCTCTAATCTCTTGTAATTTGGGAAAATCTTGATTGTAATGATATCTAAACTTTGTAATTTAGAGTCAAAAATAAAAGAAATAAAGCACAAATTTTATTATTCCCCTAGACTAATACACTTGTTTAGAGGTATTTTTATGTACTAGTTTTAGAGTTAAAGAGATCGAGAGGTACACATGATGACATGAAGATATTGGGGAAATTGTATATTGTTTGTAGAGTGATAACATAAATGGCAGCTTGTGACAATATTAACCACTAAAACAATAAAACAAACAATAATAATAACGAGGTGGCCGGCCGGCCATTGTTGCTGCATTATTTTTGTTCACATTAATAAATTATGCTAAACTAGCTACTACATTGTTTTGAGTAGATGGAATATATATATAATTAAGTAAATTAAAAAAACTACAAAATTATTTATATATTTGCTCATCAATTACTCATTAGTCACTACTATTGCTTGACAACTTTTTGAAATTAAGTATTTAAATAGGAGGACAAAAAATAAATCATGTGATCCGATCTATTGATCTAATTAAGTATTTTTTTTTTTTTTTGAAAGAGATCTATTGATCTAAGTATTATGAAGGATAAATCTGATAATGGTATAATCGGATATATGACCTTGGAACCTACCAACTTACTGGGAATATTGTTTTTTATTTTCAAATATCAATGTACGACATATCTATTTTTAATTCTTCTAACTAAAATTTAAAAAAAAAAATTTGATAATGCTAAACTGTTAATTATAAATTTAATGTACCCTTAATCAAAGAGTAGGAAATGCACGTGCACCTCCTTTTTGGTCTCATAAAGGAAAAACTCCAGTGTCTTTAGTAATCAGATTTCCACCAAATTATACAATTGCATAAAATTTAAGTACAATAATACAGTTTTAATTTCCTCTTCCTTAATTCTAATATTTATTATCTAAATTATTTCATAAGACTACACTTTTTGTTCTGAGCTGAATTGTACTCAAATTAGCCTTATTTTTTTTTGTTCAAACTTGGTTCACCCTTTGGGCTAATCTGGATTCGGGACTCAGTTATGAGTGATTATGTTCCAGTCTTCTTCCAATTGTTGTTGCGAGGAATCGAACACGTAGTCCTCCCTACCAAGTGCAGTCTCAATCACTACTGCACCAATAACCAATTGGTAATTAGCCTTTTTAATTTCATGTCTAAATGTCATTAATAGATTTATAACAACCTAAATCACATTATCTAGAATAATTCTAGCATAATTCAAATGAATAGTTGATAGTGATTTGAGTCACAAATATTCATACCGTACCCATTAAAAGATACGGAAATTAACTATACCTCATAGTTCATACTAAGT